TGGTCAGCCATCGGTCAGTTCTCTTCGCGAATCACCATGGAACGAAGTAAATTCTTTTTTCTTTTTAAAATACTTTTTCATCGTTTTGATGTTTAGGCTCCCATTTTAGCATATCGAAATGAAGTACGAACATAATTAAACAACAAAGCAGCAGTTCATAATGCAGCACAACTAGGTCACCAGCTAATGGTATGTGTCGCTCAAGATACCTGCAGAGGCAAAGCAATTGAAGATCCTATGCTTATGAAAAAAGTATTGGAATTATGTGACAGCAAGACGGAACACTTACCCGGTTTGTTGCCATTTGTTCCTGGAATGACAGTTATTTTAACGCAAAATCTTGCTATTGAACTGGGTCTTATTAACGGTATAAATGGAGTATTTCGACAATTAGTCTACGAGGCTGATTCTGTGTCAACAGATGCTCTATCTAACACATTTCCGAACAACACACAGTACGTGCATCGACCTTTATGTGAATTAATTGAAATTGCTAGATCAAAAATTGAATGTAATCTTGAAACACTTTAACCAAAAATCGTCCCCGTACCGCTAATGGAACAAACGTTTCGTTTTGACGTTACTGACATTCTTCCGAAAAATAAAAAGCCAAAATCGAACCAGAAAGCAATGTTGTCGATTAAACGACGTGCACTACCACTTGTACCTGCTTATTGTATTACAACACATAAGAGTCAAAGTTAAACTTTGAGTAAAGCTGTGATTGACCTTAAACTGCTGAACGAAACTGAAGATATTGCCGCTGTTTCTGTACCGCTATCACGTTTCCAACGTTTGATTGATGTAGGTATTTTACGGCCTTTCGATTACGAAGTTCTACTTGAGGGTGTGGGTGTGGGTGTGGGTGTGGGTGTGGGTTACCAGAAGGCATATACCGACACCCAAACCCACACCCACACCGACACCCACACCCACACCGACACCCACACCCACACCCACACCCACACCCACACCCACACCCACACCCACACCCACACCCACACCCTCAAGATTCAAGTTCCCCACCCTCGATTACCCCCCAGTCAAAGTTTTCCGGAAGTATCTGAAAAATTAAATTTCAATGTTTTTTTGACCCTGCGGACAGACAAGCAAGCAAACAAACAATTTATGTTTACTGGACTCTTCTCTACGAGAAAGAGAACAGCTACCCACCCATGAAAAATACGATCCATGATACTGGTTGTTTTTTCTATGTAATCAAGTCTTATACTTTTAATAGCCTATAATAAATAATCATAATTAAAAATTATTTTAGTAGAATACTTCAAATACTAAACAATCTTTGTTGTCATATTCTATTATTTAGTAATATACGATTTAGTCTCAGGATATATAGAAAGAAATTTTGTTAGCTTTATAGAAATGTGCTGAGGATATTAGATTATATTAAGAAGTAATGCAATGATACAATCTGCTCATAGTTTTTATTTATGTTACTCTTATGTATTTAAAGAATGTTTTTTCATAACCCATGGAACAGGTTTATATTTTAAGTTTTAAGAAGATCGAAAAATCCTTTAGCGAATTTAATAGAGTTATTGTGTATTACTTGTAAATAAATACGAATTCCCAAAGAATTTGGAACTTGTTCCAGTAGATTCAATACAGCATCACTGGAAATTTTAGCAGCAGAATTGAAATTTTGTCTGTCCTTCGGGTTAATGTCCGATCGGACAAGACCATGATCGAATTTTGAGAAGTTATT